CTCTACAAAATCATATTGTCTAAAAGTATTTGAGTGTTTTGTCTGTGTGTGTGGGTGTAGGTGTGCCATGAATGTTCATATGTCTTCATTTAGACAACAAGCTCTATGTTCTCCTTGATGGGCATGAGATTTATAGAAAACATGAGATTCAGTACATAATACTGAAAAGTTTAAAGAAATAAAGGGAACAATTTGCTCTGCTTAAAGATATCACTGGATTTATATGACATTGTTACAATGATGGAACATTATGGTAACACTTTACATTAAGGTTCCCTTTATGAAGCGTTTATAAATGACTAATAACTCATTTACAAATGCATTATAAATCATTGATAAGCAGTTATAAATGCATGAATAAAAAGGGTGATTTTAATGCAATACCTGCCAAATAGTGAGACATTTTTTACTTACATGTTATAAATGCTTAATAAATATATTTATTCGTACTATTTCACTCAAAACCAGATTCCTGATTTATTTTATGATGCAGCAAAAAATAGACTATTACAGCGAGTCTGAAGGGTGTTGTATTTATGGTTTTCTCATTTATATCTCATGACTCGTGTCACTTTTCTTACAATGTTTCTTACCAGAATCTACTCTCTATCTTTCCCGTGATTCTCCGCAAAAGTTCATGATGCCTGTCGACAGCAATGACTAGGAACTGGGGGGGATCATAAAAGCACAACCATGACTTGATGAGATATTAATAATGAAAAGTTTAATTCCAATATTAGTTACCTGTGAACTGTAATGAAAAGAACCATTTATTAATGAGTTATAAACATTAATAACCTGTGAAAGTGCACTATAATGTAAAGTGAACACCTGTGAACCATTTATTAATGAGTTATAAACATTAATAACCTGTGAAAGTGCACTATAATGTAAAGTGAACACCTGTGAACCATTTATTAATGAGTTATAAACATTAATAACCTGTCAAAATGAACCTTAATGTAAAGTGAACACATGTGAACCATTTACTGAGCAGTTATGCTCAGTGACCAACATTACTGAGCATAACTGCACACGAAAAGTGGCTTATACAAGTAAACTCACAATAAACAATTCAGAAAAACAATCAAGTATTCACCAAATTATAACTATGCATCTATACAACAAAAAATATCTAATAAATGCAAGCTCAATAAAGGCACCTAAATGTTAATATTTTATCTAATTTAACAGTTTTTAAATAATCATTAAATAAACGACTGAAAGCACCATTACAGAACATATTCATATTAATAAGCAATCAGTAAATATATTTGATATCATGATAAAGCCCCCTGTAACTTGAGTATTTGGTCATCCACACTTGCAGAACCCGTGCGCAAGTGAACCATCCGCGGGAGCGCCGCAAGGTTATTTATTTGTATGGTAACAAATTAATTGAACTAACAAACTGACTACACTTAAAACATGTGAAAAACATACTCTGCAATGTCACTTCACAGTTAGCATATCAATGATTTATAATAAATTTGTAAATGAGTTTTTAGTCATTTATGAACACCTTTATAAACACTTTATAAAGGGAACCTTAATGTAAAGTGTTACCAACATTTTTTTTAATGGCCAATTGTCATATTACGTTCAGTCAGCACATTTACTTGAAGTAAATTAATAATAATAAAAAAAGGCATGTTGCCTTATTTCAAAAGCTAAAATTTTCAACGGTGCAAGAACATCTTAATTTTTACACATCTGGCAACAATTTGAGAAGCAGATATTCAGAATATGACACGTTTGCTTGCTATCTCAGTTATTCATCCTCACATGGTTGCATGAGGATATAGGTATAGAGGTTAGCAGCAGAACTGAATTCAATGTAATTGAATATGAAAGGTTTTTGCCACACACAGCTATGACTATGCTCAAGAAAAAATGAGTGCTGCGCATAAAGGAAGTTTTATCCTGAAAGTCTCTGAACTGCTTGTGCTTTGGAGGGGTTCATTGCTGTGCAGGCACAAGTGCTTTCCCTGGAGCGAGCCATGGGCTGTGAATGTGTGGGCAGTCTACGGCAGACCTTGCATTCTGTGTACTGAAAACACAATCTTCAATAGATGTCTGCAGCATCTTCACATGGCATGTTGGGGTGCATTCAAAGTAAGTCATGTTTCCTAGCAATGCATGTATTTTTTTTTCTCTGCTGTCTCTACAAGAAAGATAATAAAATAATTAAATTATTTCATTTCCATATATTTATTAATTTGTTAAGTGGGATAATGTACAGTCAGATGGCCATTTTTGTTTTAATTAAACACCGACAGGTTGATCACGACTCTGCAATCTCTTCTCACATAATAAAATAATTTCAACTCAAATGATATTATTCCGTATCTTTTTTTCTTTTCTTTTGGTAAATAGTTGTGTAATGTAGAATCAGTTGGTCATTATCACAATACAATATCTAATGGCTACCCCCAACAGTTTGGTTACTAACATTCTTCAGAATTCTTCTTTTATGTTCCACACAAGAAAGAACCTCATACAGGTTTAGGACAACTTGAGGGTAAATGATGACAGAATTTTAATTTTTGGGGCAAACTATCCCTTTAATGGTCACTGTACGTTATCTCTTAAATAAATACCCTGTAACTCTTATACCCTTATTACAAACTGCAAATATTATTTAACATATTATATTATCTGACCTTGTTGTGAATACACACTTTTTGTTGAATATGTAGCCATATGTATAAAGGTAATGATTTCAAATGTTCCATTGGCAGATATAGACAAGGGCAGCAACTAAATATTACTTTTTGTCTAGAGGGAATGTTTATCCTTAGAACTGACCATTTTGTCTCACTTTTTGACTATATTTTATCTATACTGCAATCTACTATCAACATAGCACAGGGATCCAGTGTGAAATCGAATTTGCCTTGGGCTGTTATTGCTTGTTATAAGACCACATGGGAAAGCTTGTGTAAATATGTCAGTAATGTTAAAGGGCAGCCCTCTAATATGCAGTATCAGTGACCTTAAACAATTTGGGTTTCTCTGGTCAGTCATGCCTTTTTGTGAACGGAATATAATTCAATAACCAGGGTTATATTTTTTTTATTGTTTTATATTTCTGTATTCATAATTTCATAACATGTCTACAATTGTAAATCCTGTAAATGCCGTTTCTGAACCGCCTTTTGCAGTTTGATAACGGCATTTAACACTCCGTATCAGCAGGGGGCGAGTTATAAAAGATGACCCCTCAAGTAAGAGCTAAACCAGGGGTGTCAAACTCAATTCCTGGAGGGCCGGGGCAACTCAAAGTTTTGTTCCAACCCCTGCTCCAACACACATACCATGTAATTTTCAAATAAGCCTGAAGGACTTGATTAGTTGGAACAGGTGTGTTTAATTAGGGTTTAATCTAAACTCTGCAGGGCTCTGGCCCTCCACAAATTGAGTTTGATACCCCTGGCCTAAACCAACCAAAGTGTTAGTGGGTTTAAAAGTAGCTTACACATTATTTTATCAACTAAGTACATTTAAGTGGGATTCTCAAACCTGATAGTAACTACAAAAATTAGAGCGTGTATTTTCACTCAGATGATCAGGGCCGTCGCTAGTAGGGTGAAAGGTGGTGACGATTATAGGGGCCCACGGCAATTTCAAAGACACTCAGGATAGTTCAAGGGCCACTGCTGGGCATCGTCGTGAAAGCTTATCATTTGCACGTGTTTTTAAGCTTTGCCAATTTAAACATTCAAGAGATTTTTAAAGCATTCAAGCACAAGACGCGAAAGAACACAGCACACAGAGAGCCGCGTCTCACAGCCCTTGAACACCGAATTGAGCTTTGCCCCTTCTTGTGTTTGAACGGACCCCTGATAGCACACGTCCATCACGGAGACGTCTATTTGACGTCTGCATTTACATCTGCAAGACGTATTTTTTAGAGTGTTTGCTCATCTGCAATATGTCTACACAGGGGCGGATTTAGTAAATTGGGGGCCCCAGGCAAAATATAGGAATGGGGCCCTATACATTTTCACACATTTTCCTAGATCAACCTTGACGTTCCTACGTTGTGCTTTTATAAAATAAAGAAAACAAACGCTGCCGTCTCGGCCTTGCCCAGGAGCGCGTCACAATGATGAACCTAAACTCCTCGAATTGCCTCACAGACATGATAAAAAGGGGGCCCAAGGCGGTCGCCTACCTTTGCCTAATGGGTAAGTCCGCCCCTGTGTCTACAGGACGTTTCCTATCCGATGTCAAATAGATGTTTAGAAGATGTCTTTACGATGTTTATGATTTAGAATGAATGTAAAACTGACATCTTAAAGACGTCTATCAGATGTTTGTACACAGCAGATGCTTTCCAGATGAAGCGATCTTTAACAGACATCTTGCAGAGGTACCTGTGCTATCTATGACATGTCTAAATACCCGTCTTGGTGAGTATCCTCGAAAAACTGTCGGTTTTGTTTAAAACATTTAAGATAGTTAACAGATTAACGCGCTGGGGCGCAAAAACACAATTTGGCTTTGCCTTAGATGCATCTCAACAAACTGCGCAGCGAAAATCTCCCTCTAAGGTTATCGAACAATTCGCGCATTGCTCAACACTATTATGTTGCCCGAGCTACCTCTCCAAACTCTCCAGTGAATTTGACGCGAAAACTAATTAAATTCTAAGTTTTTTTTTGCTTCATTAGCGAAATCCCCATGTTAAGAACCCCTGCCTCCCTCGCGCTACGTCAGGTGCTGCAAACCGATCAAAGTCAAGCCCACAGTGCGTTATTGTCCCCATCTATCGGCACACACTTTCTCTCTCTCTCTCTCTCTTCGCTCACACTGTCGCCTGCAAGCTCATGAGTGCGCGCGCCTAGAAATCCATCTGAATGCGAGGAGTGAAGGAGGGTCGGTGCGCTCTGCAGACAAATTTCACTTGTCATTCCTGAATAACGTCGCTCTACCGGAGGGCTGGAATCGGACTTCAGTAAAAGAAGTGCGGTGGCCTTCGCCCTCACTCAGCAACGATGTCCGAATACATCCTCACCTTACTCGTCATACTGGGATTCGGGGATATATTCTCAAATGTTCAGACACCGAGGGACGCTGATACAGAGCAAGGTAAGACAAACGCAGCAGCTGTACAATGAAACTTGCTCTCGCGGAGCATCCTATAATCTGTCAGCGCATCTCGCCACGTGCGTGATGTCGCTACACGTTTTTGATACGATGCGAGCATTTTTTCCCGAAATGTTGCGTTGAATTAAACTGGGAACTAGTCAGGTTGAGGTTGGAATGTTTCACTCGCGTGTTGTAGTAGTCGATGGTGTAATTCAGTTCCCTGTAGTGCTGGTGTGCTTGGAAAGAACCAAAAGAGTATGAATATGCTCAAGCCCTAATAACGATATTTTTAAGACGGAAATGTGAGGTGTGTTGGAGGATATAGTTTCGAGATATATTGTCAAAATTAAACAAGAATGTGTTTGTTCGGTAAATGACTTTTAAAATATATATATTTTTTATTATTTGTAAGTCTTAAAACATATGAATAGGCTTACTGATAAACGTAGGTTACATTTAACAGTGCATTACATATAGGCTTTTTTAAATCGTGAAATAACGATTGAATTGTTGTTTATTGCAATATATACCATGGTATGAGTCGCCTTATGATTCGAAACGTAAGAGACATTTTCATACTTCCTTGCAATATTTAAATAGCTAGTTTGCTCTTATTTTTGTTATCAGTTATGTACATTGGTGTGAGTTATATTGCATTAACTTGTTTAGGAAGAGTTTATTGCATTACTTTAGTGTCGTGTGTTACCCTGATGGTGTTTCATGTTTGTTTGGGTGTCAGTGCACTGTCTATTTTATTATTGGTCAATAGTTGCTGAAAAAGACAATTTTGAGCTGAACTCAGATTAAATCATCATGTGACCTTGTGTTGGACCATCTTTGTTATTTTCAGTAGCAAACAGATTTTAATAACCATCCTAATGCCTGAAACATAGTCAGTGTATTGTTATGTCATAAAGTTCTGGCAACTTCTAACCACTATCGTCAAGTTGTGAATGTTGCAAGTTTCTCGAATATCACAATGTCTTCCTTGTATGGCTTGTATAACATAAACTTTTGGCTGAAGAGTAGCAATTGTGAGTGACACTGTCAGAGAAATCTAAATCAATGAGTGCAGATATTTAATGAATCTTGATGTGAGGATCAATGAGTCTTGAACTAGTTGCAGGGGTTTTGTTCACTTGCAGCAAATCCCTGTTCACCATCGGATTGAGATAAAGCAAATACTGTCAGCTTGTAGCACAGACAAATCTGTCAAGATTGTTTTCCCCTTGTGCTCTCAAAGCTAGACACGAGATTCACGAAAAAGAGATTCTGGTATCAAGTATCATATTTTAATTCATACGCAATATAAAGTACAACTAGGCAGTTATTTCAAGATTGTCTTTTAGAACCAAAAACAGCTTTTATAAACAAAGAAGATCTCTGCAGGGTGTTGCAGCTCTGTAGCCTTTCACATGACAACAAGACCAACAGGTAAAACATAGTGTATCGTCATTTGAAATTTGATCAATTATTTAAAAAGTATATATGCATTAAGCATCCATGTTTTGTTATGTAACATGACCTTTCGATGCATGACATCCACTACAGCAGACAGTTCTTTAAAATACATTTTAAACCATTTAGGGTGTTTTGTTATGTCTAAACTATAATAAATAATTTACCTTTGACCCTTAAACATAATTCTCTACGACCATAGCTCTTTATATGTCATTGTATTTTTTTATTTATGACAACACAAATTCAACATGGCTGCAAGTTTTGAAGCACCTAGTACTCCTTGAATATCTTCTTTTACTATCATTTATTGCAATGGGCAGATGTGTAACTCAAAATACAATTAAAAAAAATATATATATCTTTTTTTTACTTTTTTCTTAGAAAAAAAATATCCTTATTTAATGAATACTTCAGGCATAAAAGGGTTAATTCCAAAGAACTTCCTAGCACACGTGCACTACTGTAGATTATTTTGTCTCTTCATCCAGGTGTGTTCACGGAGAAAAACTGTTATTTTCAAAAGCTGCATATTCATCATAGATGAATGTAAATGTCACTGTGCCCTGCAAAGAGATTATCTGAATAGTGGTACTTTGAGGCTTGTGTTCTCCTGCTAAATGCTTGCATTCATATCTCCATCATATGATACTATGTCCTAATTCTCAACACTGCTCATTCACTTATCACATATTTAAAAAAAATAATGACAATCGGAACAGAGTCATCAGTGTGGTTGTGACATAAGCACTCTTAGGATGCTTGATAAAACCGCTCTTTCCACAGTCTGTTTAGTGAACCTTTAATCATTGTTTGCCATCTAGTCCAGTGTATCGCAGCCAAGAGTTTACAGCACCAGTGCAGGCAGATGGAAAGGCATCATTGAAAAGTAGTTTACTCAAACCACACTTCATTATATCAAACCCTCTTTTATCTTGCCGGGTGACTCTCGCTTCAGATATTCATCGGCTATTATATAGACAGTTCAAGGTTGCTGGAAATGTTTAAGAGAGCATACCCCAAAAAGCAGATTAAGCACTATCCTTTCGTAATGAAATTGGGAGGACACCCCCAGAGCCCAATTAAATGAGATTATATCTAGACATGCTGTGCTGGCTTATTGTCCAACTGTGGTTTTTACCTGGTATTGGAGGAAATTCAATTAAGACAAAAACAGTGATTGTTCAAATGACCTCAGTCATGCAAAGGCAATGCTGATCTGTTACACACTACATAGGGGAAATGCTTTTGTAAAACTCAAGGAAAGGGCAGATATCATGCTCTGTTACAAAACCTAGGGAGCTGTGTTGTAGGGCATGATCATAGCACTTTAAATGTGGAGGCTGTTTTAAATGGTAAGCAACTTAATTATGATGGCTTCTTTGACTAGTTTTCGCCAAGTTTTAAAAGCAGCAATTTGACTGTGTACTGAGGTGAGCTAAGTAAAAAATGAATCCAAGATGGGGGAAGTTATGTGACAATTTTGATTGCAAATTAAAATAAACTTATTAAAATAAAAATTAAATATAACATGCTGGAAAAATATAAAAATATATTAGATTTTATCAATAATTATTATTAGTAATTATATTTCATTTTTTACATTTTTGTTTTATTTTTATTCCTAATATTTATGTGTGCCATATATTTTTACGTGTATTATTATTGGGCCATTAGCTTGGCAACATGCTAGGGTTAATTCAGGATAATTGGGACATTTTCTCCTTTTATCTCAATGGCAAAAAGTGTCCTCATTTACCTGAATTCACACCTGACAAACAAATATTGAAATCTGTTGACCCATGCAGAATGCTGTTTGTGTTGCTGCCTTTGTAGAACATTGCAAATTGGTCACTTATTAGGGTTCAGTGAACATTTGGATACTTCCGGCTAATTCACACTGCATTGACACCAACTAAACATCAACAGACATGTTCATCTGGGTTTGTCGGATCTGTGTGTTACCCCTGACGGCATCTGTTGTAAATTTTCGCAGATTGAACATGTCCATTCAGTGTTTGTCGGGTTGTGGAGTGTCTGAGAAGTGACATACTGTAATCTGGTGATTATCGACATTGGATAGTGTCTGTTGGTGCAGTGTGAATAAAGTTGTAGACGGCAGCACACTAGGTTTTGAAACAGGGCTGTGGTTGCACACCACTTCCACCCTCAAAAGACTGACCTTCTCAGGTTGGTCTACATTTATTTTCATAGGTGGTTTACGTCAGTGTCTGGAAAGTTTTACTTGAAAAAATGTCTGGTTTGCCATATGGAACTCATTTACAGGCTGTTTCTGGGTATAAATTCATGCCTCAACTTCAGGTGTTTCCTCCTTCCCAACCAAGTAATTGGTCCAGTTGTCTCAGTCAGAACATTAAAATAGCCCCTACTTAGTTGATGACCTTACAATTATCCATGTGATACTCTATAAAACGGGAAGCAATAAGGCATGCTAAGCCAAAGCACTTGCTGAAAAGGGATTTAGAATGACAAGGGAGATGACAAAGCAAAGTACTTGGGTTCTGTTAAGAGCAGCAGCCTCGCTTCTGGAAGTGATTCATCTAGCACCTGTGTGGCAGGCTTCATTGTTTTTGTTGCCGTTCAATTGCACGCCCCATTTGGTCTGATTGAAGTTCAGTTGAAGTTGGCCACACATTCAGCTGAGTCATTAAGTGTTCTGACCTTTGACGGATCAAGTGGTTGTGGCTGAGCATTGCTGTTGGAGCTAATCCTGCAATACACAGGTAATCTGCTGGCCTATGACATCATGTGCATCTGTATTTTATGTTGACATGCTAGAGCAGGTCTGTGGAAATGAATGGTGAATGTCAAGATATTTATTGTACCACAGTGTTTTCCATCTGGTCTGCAGGGTCCAAAATTAACTTTTTGCTTTTAAATTGAGAATTTTCCAGCCTTAAATATATCTTACATTAAACGTTTGTATTATTATTATTTTAATAAAATAAATACTTTTGTCAGCCCTGTGATGGACTCACCATCCACTGTGTTTCCCTGCATAGTTCAAACGATTTGGAGAAAGGATGGATGGATAGATGGAGATATTTTTGACTCTATGACAAAAATGAAATTATATGTTTTCTCTTTGCATATTATGACAAATATTGAAAACAATTCTTTCAGTCTGAGCATCATATACTGTAGTCTACAAGATGCACAGATCTGTTCTTTATGAGACAATTTGTTCATCAGTGAGGATCTGACTAACATTTTTTAACATTTGATTTAAATGGACAGTTTACCCAAAAATGAAAATGTACATACAAGTGTTCCCTCATGTTGTTCCAAACCTTTTTTTTTTTTTTTTTTTTTTTGTGGAACACCGAAAAATAAATTTTAAATAATGTTTGGCCACTGCTTGAGCAAAATATTTTGTATGCTTTTAAAAGCACAGTCAGGAGAGTGCATATGTTGTTATAGTTTGTGGATTTATGCACCCATTTTAATTGGATCTGGACGTCTTTTCATCATTTTCAGAAAACAGTCTGTTAGATCTGGTAAAACACATGGCAGCCTGGTAT